TTCCATTTTAACTAGTAGACTAGATTTTGAATTAAAGTTGGCGTTTTTATGGGAAGATTCTGGTGATGTTAGTAGTGAAACCAAGGAGATTTGGTGTAGAATGATTGATTTGGAAGGGATCCATGCGACTGCAGAACGGTCTGACTTCTGGGGATTGTCCCTCGTGGCTGTAGACTGCAGCATTGTCTATCTGTCTCTCTAGATTGAAGAGAAGACATATCTTGAGTTAATGATTGTTCACTTGTGTTTAATACTTGGCAAGTCAACATGAATATGAGTTGCTTACACAATGTGATCTTTATATTCAACGGAGAATATGTTTACAAGATATATAATTATCTGTGTTTACTAGTATTCGGTTTGCTCGTTTGCAGTGGTTTGCAAAAACTTGAATTGGGCTATGCTCTGTTTTTTTGCATCTTTCCACAGGCAAGGTTACTCTGTTTTTGATAATGATGAAGCGATTAATTTCCAATGACCTTAAACGAGATAGGATATACAAAATGTTTTGAGTTGATATGTTAGGAGATAACTTGTGTTTCACGTTTCTTTAAAAATGCTAGTTTCTGCTTTGCAGCTTTGAATATTTATGCAATCCCGCACACAAAAACACAGAGGATATCTAACATATATTGTAAAAAAATAATGATAGTTTTTATGTATAAATATTATGATTAGCCGATTAGGGCTCCGTGAACTCCCCAAAGCCAAAAACCAATTAAAAGATGTTAAAAAGACCCTAAAAATTGCAAGACGATGTCTACTACCGCCGCTTCCGACACCAAGAAGCGACGGCGACCAAACTATGAGCATCCACAGTCGCGGTCGTCGTTTGACTCGTAACCAGACGACCTCGTTTTGAACATCTTAGCCGGAGTCCCGAGACGGTATCACCCAATTCTCTCTTGCGTCTCCAACAAGTTCCGGTCTCTTCACGAGATGCGATCTCTCCTAGGCAAAGATTCATTCTACGTCTGCATTAAAGAATACTATAATGCTACTTACACAACCTATCATTGGTTCACCCTCACTGAGAATCGCTTGGTCTCGATCCCATTCCCTTCTCAGCCTGATCCAGACTCTAAGGAGAATGAATGGAGAGTGGTTAATGGTTTGAAACTCAACAAGTATTCTGCCTTCGAATTGGCTGAATACAATGGAAAGTTGTTGATGTTCCCGCACCAAGAAAATAATGGGGAGATTTGGTGTGCAATGATCAAGTTGGATAGAAGTGGAGTAGAGATTACAGGGAAGGTTGAGTGGTTTGATTGCGTATAACTATCATAACTATCATAATATGCATTGTTTCGGTCGAACAGATTAGATTAAGGTATGGATGGAGTTGTAATAATGAAGGTATGATCATGATGGCTTTAATTAATACATTATGAATAGTGTGATCATGATGAGTTGCTATGTTTGGCTTGAAGTGGGCGATGTTAGGAGTTAAGTAGAGAGATTCATGGGCCATCTCAACTTCTCATGATTGTCCCTAGCTAGTATGATTAATGTTCAAAATGGTCGAACATAGAGGAATCGTGAAAAAGTGGTTATATTATTATTCATTACTAATGTTTTGTTTGAAATAATAACATACAGGATATGATGCACACATTTATACTAAAATTTAGACATCATAGAGACATTTTTTTTGTTTTGATTTGGCATGGAATTAGAAGTTCCACAAGAATGCACAAGGAAGGCTTGGAGATAAAGTGGTGAAATCAGTTGGCCTCAGTTGCTAGTTGCTACCACCACCAAAGAGGTAATCCAAAGACGAACCACCACCTGGAGCTGAGTGAACCTTGGTCGAAGGCCGGTCCTGCATCATAACAACCAAACATTTTAGTGACCTTACCATAAGTTTTAGATTTGAAAAAAAAACCAACATTCCATATTTTTTTCATCTTTAAGCAGCTAAATCTAAGAAACGAAAAAGATTTAAAAAAAAAAAAAAATGTGTTTTGCTACTCTGATAACATATATAGAAAAAGAATGAGACATACCGTAATGAAGTTGCCTGTGTTCTGTCCCTCTGCGCGCATGTAGTTGTTTGCAGAGTTGCTATTGAGACCAGCTGGACCTTGTTTGGTGATATCAACAGGTTTTGGAGCAGGTTTTGTCGGAGACGGAGGAGTAGGAGAAGGCTGAGTTTCAGCTGAAGGAGCATTGTTAACGGCTGGTTTTGGTGCCTCACCGCTCCCGAAAAGATATCCCAAAGAACTCTGGCCTCCACCTGCACTAACTCCACGACCCATTCTCTCTCTCTTGCTTCTCTGAAAGGTAATAATTAGCTTTGTATTTAGCATCATTATTCTATACAAAACATTTGCTACATGAAAACCCCAAAACAGAATAATGGACCGTGTTACTTAATTCTTAGATTACTATACAGAACAGGTAAGATATATTTCCCAAGACTCAAATCTTCTGATGAAATTCACATGTATTATGTAAAACATCATGATTGGTGGAAGATTCTGTAACAAAGTTCACATTAACGACCTCCATTTTACTACTCTAAAACATTTACCTCGGATTATAGATCCAACGATCACTTAAATCGGAAAGATGGTTGGAGAAGAAGAGGAAGAGAGTCAGTGAGAGATAAGCAAGATGCTTGTGAATTATGATTTATAGGCGCACAGAAAGAAATATCTCTCTTTTAAAAACAAGAACGTGAGATCTTCACGTTTTAGCTGGCATCTCAATTCAACAGAACAATCGGTGTCGTTTTGTTCTTTAAAATTTCATGGAACTTTTAACTTTTTCTAGTATTGTGTAATCCACTAATTAATATCTACTTTTTCTGATATACTTGCAATTAAAAAATTATAAAAAAATCATTACTGTCTGATAAAGTTACAAAATAATGAAAAAGGTTGTTTGTTCATATCTCTGAGGCAACTCCAAAAAAAAAAATCAAATCCGACAATCTCTAACTTTTTATGGGATCCTATGTCCGGTTATGTTTGGTTAAATCCGGTTTACGATGATCAAGAAGATTTCTTGGAAGGAATTTGAGAAATCTCGACGAGGATTCGGTTTAAAGATTGAGGACGAGAGAAGAAGGGTGCATGATCTGAGCCTTTTAGCTGAAAAACTTGCTCTGGAGGATTTGATTTGATCATAGCATCTTGTAGAGAAACCGGTACAGCGTAATCTTCTTCCATGGTTTTGATGTAGAACCGTCGGATTGAACCGTAGTTCTTTTCTGATACGTGTAGCTTTTCGACCACTGGCGCGAATGGGATTGGTCTCATGGATACCGACGCCAATGCAATGTCCTGTACCAAAAAAACAAGTCGGGTTTAGTTAAACCGAATTGTATGTTATTATTAAGCCAATTTGTGTTTGTGTAGTTTACCTTTGGAGGGCTTTGATTAAAGAAAAAATCTCTAAGCAAAGATCTGTCGAAATCAACGGCTGTTGGAGGGTTCTTTTTGCCGTTTGCGTATAGAAATATATGCACTTGTTCCATCAGATCATAATTTGTCTCAGGCTGATAATTTAAAACTCAAGTCAAATCAAAATCAAAATGTATAAAAACATCTATAAGTTAAGCTAATTGCAAATAAACCTCTGATTATATAGCAACTATACCATGAAAACATAGGATTAAAATCAGAATAAAATAGTTTTGAACAGAATCTAAAACCTGTTGGTTAAAGAGATCAAGAGTGCTTTGGGCATTAGGCAACATAGCAGCAGAGATGAAAACAGCCTTAGAGATCTTAGAAGGGAACATCTCCATTGCATAAGACACACATGCACCTCCAAAATCATGCCCCACTAATATCACCTGCACCCATCAATTATAACATTACTATCATTACAAAAACATTATTAATATGAAAATGATATTGAGACGTGAGCTAGACCTTCTCGGTGGGTTTAAGAGTGTCGAAGAAGTGGAGGAGAGGTTTGACATACTGAGCGAGGCTGGTGATGTTGTTGGTGTCGAAAGAGCTTACACCAGAACCGGTAAGGTCAACCGCGTCGACTTGGAAACCATGTTTCTCTAAGAGTGTTATGGTTTTGTACCAACACCATGCTCCAAATCCTCCTCCATGAACCAGCACGAACCGCTTTGTCTCCGCACTTTCCACCACCTTTAGCTCCTGTTTCCATCCATTTTAACCATCAATATATGTATCAATTTTGAGATGGAACTTATACCATGGAAATAATACCATCATCATCATGTCTACCAATTTTTTTATTTTGTGACTAAAATATCTTCATCTTTTTTCTTCTTCCTCTTTGTTTGTGCCTTTACTCGAACTCAAGAGGTGGAGCTTAGCCCACAAACCAAATGAGCTGAACGAGCTATAAAATATCTTCATCTTTATGTGCTTTTTATAATTACTAAACCTAAACTCTACTAACAAATAAATCCAAATGTATTTGATGCAAAATTATACGTGTATAAACAAACATCTTTGTACGTAATTTTATACAAACAATTTATGATTGTATATCGGTTTGGCTATGTTATTTGTTAATTTGGCTAATGGAAGAAGAAAAAAAAATAAAACAAGTCATAGTTTTGATTTATTTCCATACTAATTTAATCGACAATTGCCATAATATTTAACAAATCAAATGTTATTTTGTACCAGCCGGATATATTTCCCGTCAATTTTATACGTTAATTACTTCAATTGCTCAATCTTGGAACCAGCCGGACCGATTTGAACGGTTCGATGAATCTAGATGTGTATGAGTTAAATAAGCGGACAATATGTATAGGGGAGAAGCAATTAAAACCTTGTCTAGGAGCTGATTAGGTTTAAGGACAGGATCAGTGCTTGATCTCTGTCTATTGCTAGAGCTTCTAACAAATCCACAAGTAGACTTCTTAGGAGTCAAGACGCCGGAAACAGAACCTGTAGCGGCGGCCACAGAGGCCGGAGGTGGCTGAGTGGAAGGATAGACGACGGAGGTGGAACGTCGGAAAGTAGGAGCAGAGTTGCTATTACGAGGCGTCTGGCTAAAGAGAATATTAGTAGCAGCTAAAGTTTGTTCTTGGATAAGAGAGTCTTTCTCATGGTCATGGTGATGTTCTTGGTGATGTCTTTCTCTGATCTTCTTCTTCGTCTTGATCCCTCCTTTCTTGGACGTTGAAGTAGACGTGGAGGAACCGGAGCAGGAGAGAGACGGTAGTAAAGTCCGGCGCCGGAAAGATGGTATCAGGGACAGCCTCCGTACGTGTTTCCCGGAGTTACTACTCTCTCCTCCTCCGTTTACGACGGAAGGTTTCTTCTGGTTTGGATCTTGCTCATGAGATATGCATCTCAAAGAGTTTCCCATTTTTATTTTATTTTTGGTTTTTGCTTAACTAAGGAGAATGTGTTATGTGTTTATGTATATATATGGAGCATGTTCGTGCTTGCATGTGTATTGTTTTGATGGGTGAAAATGTTTAGTTGAGACCTTCACGTTGTGAAGCTTTACTTTTAAGTAAGTGTCGTCGTCTCTTTGATTAAATCTGTTTGATCGTGATAGATTTTGACACTAATTAAGTTTTCTTGAGTCTCATTAAAATGTAACATATGAGAAAATTGGTTTAGAGTTTATTAGATTATAATTTTGAATATTATATTGCAAACTAGTGAATATTGATTGCCTAAGACAATTGGAGATAGAAGAAAGAGGGAGGAACATGGGAGGGCACTTTCTTTGAGCATTTTTATGGTCCTTTGACTTTCCAGTGCAGGCCAATTTTACAATGATGCAACAATAAAACAATTTCCTCGTATCATTTTTTTGTTTTTGGTTGAGATTTCCTTTTATGCGAATAAGAAAGATAAAAACTTGTGGGTGGTGGCACGGTGGTCTTACGTATAAGATGAAAAGGCGTAAATTCGTTACAAGTACTGATTCCACGGTGTGCATTTGCACTCTATGTGCACTCTATGTGGTGAAAGTGCATATGTGGACTAGATCGAATCATAACGAGCAAATAATCTAATCATAACGAGCAAGTAAATGTGTAAAGTAAATGAGAAAAAAAAAATTATCGAGATTCGGTTTTTTTACATCTCCGAGACCTAGTCCATAAATGAATCTAATAGAACAAAAAAATAATATCCAATTGCAAACAAGTAATCAAACACATTTTCGGGATTAGTTCAGAAACAAATCCACTATAGAACAAGAAAATAATATTCAATTGCAAAAAAAGTAATCAAACACAACCGTTCTGATCTACTGTTCTTTTGTTCTTTTCTACAACCTGGATTCGAACTTGGATGCAAACATGAGGATCATCATGATCCCTCATACACACCACAAACAGAACTTGTTCTTGTGATCTCCTCTCTTGTGGACGACGCCAAACACATGTGCATCTCTCAATGATATCCTAGGCGCATAAGTCTTTTCGTCTATGCCACTAGGTATTTATAACCATGTCCTTAAACCTTAATGACTCCACAAGTCGCAAGGGCTTCAAGGCTCGTGTCTGGTCTAGTCAACAGATCTCTTGACACTTCAGCCCAAGCCCATGTCAAGTCTCTTGCTTCATAATCTGAGTGCAGCAAGTCGATCAGCTTAGCAAGTCTTCTGATGTGGCAGCCTCAGCTCTCCATCACTTCCTCTGCCTTCTGATCAGAAACATGTGTGTTGCTCCAGATCTACAAGTCCCTTGATGTACCATCTCTTGCTATCCATCAAGCCTCTGAAGGTGAGCTACATTTGATGCTTTGTCTGATTCTAAAGTCTTCATGCTTACAATCAAACAAACCTCATCCGGATCACACTAACATCGTGAGTATCAAATGTATTCGTCTCGATCTTCACCAATTACTGTATCAACATCTCTGTTCGTTATGCTTCAATGTCATTGTTGACTCTATCTATCTTAGTGTCTTTGTCTTGGACTTTGTGTCTCTTAATGTTCTGATATCTTCTTAAACTAGTGAGCAATACATTAACACGTGGGTCATTGGATTTCGGTTCGGACGTTTTACTAGTGGTGTAGAAACTTATATTTTGTCAAGACAATGCAAAATTGGTTGGGCGGTTCGTCGAAACTGGGACACTCCGTGTTAAATCTATAACAAAATTAGTTAGGCCATTGAAACAAAGTTACCAGTTCCCACATATATTTGAATAAGTACAAAATATTGTGGATACTAAACTAGTTATGGAATAACCACTAACAATTTGTGATTTGTAACAATCAGTGTGTTCGTCCACGCATTATAAGGTTTGTTTAAACTTTAAAGTTATTCATGTAAATAACAAAAGCTACCAAAAAAAAAGAAAATTTCAGTATAAAATTCTTGCAAGAATTGTTTAAAA